CAGATGGACCTTCAGCTTTTGAGAAAAAATTCCAGTTACTCATTTTTGTGCCTGGTCATGGATTTAAAAGGCTAACTACAGCCTCTAATAACCATGCTGTCTATTTTCTTTTACAAGAAAGGCATAAACTCTATTAATTGCAAAATAATAACTAATACAAGTAAGTTTTCCTTTTTATTTTTTATTTTTAATATTTCTACTTTTTAGAAATGTATCTAAACCCTTAAGATTGAAGTTATTGGAAACTCTACTTCATGGAATAGGTTTCTGTGGAGACCTCAGGAAAACGTAAGAGCACCACAGCAATATCAGCTGGCATTCTGCATATCCTGAGTTAAAGCGATGTAATAAAAATCACATAAGGTATACTAAAAATGATAAAATTAGACTTTTGTTTTATACTGTAGCTTCTATACACGCATTTGTGGGATACTGTGGGTACCACATCAAAACATCATGTTAAACATTTAATAAAATTACCAGGATAGTATTTCACTTAAATATAGCTGTCTTTCAACTACGGAGGTTCAAACAACTGCATTCAGCATCTAGTTTCAAGTAAGATTTCAAAGTTCAATGGATTTACTCCAGCTCATTATAATGATAAGTGTTATTTAGAAAACCCAGATGCAGATCTGTGTTAGGATCAAATGGCCCCTTTTCAAAAACAATTCTGGTACTTTCATCTGGGCCCTTAAATTAAGTATTTTAATTTCCTTTCTTTCCTCCAAAGTTATAATCATAGAGATGTTTTTTCCAAGATCACTTGCTGGTGGGAAATATATATATGTAATGTAGCTCTAATTGTAACTGCAGTGAATCACTCATGTTTTTTTTCACTGCTTTTGAAAACTTTTCAAGTTAAAGAGAGTAGATTTAGGTTGGATATAAGGAAAAAGCCTTTTACAGTGTGGGTGGTGAAGCAATGGAACAGGTTGCCCAGAGAAATGGTGGATGCCTCATCCCAGGAGACTTTCAAGGCCAGGCTGGACCAGGCTCTGAGCACCTGACTGAGCTGTAGATGTCCCTGTTCACTGCAGGGGAGTTGGACTACACGACCTTTAAAGGTCCCTTCCAACTCAAACAATTCTATGATTCTATGAAGATGACTCTGGTACAGCATTTATTCATGATTTTTTTCTTATACTTAGCTTGTTTTGCAGTAATATTTTCAGGTACTTCTTAAAGTAGGTGGACTAGCTCTACTTCAACACAGGATCTCTCCATCTCATACCAGGAAGGTCTACTTTAGGAGACCCCTGGAGCAACCTGCTTATGAAAGTGTGACCTCAGAGATGCTAAAATTACTCATGTTATTATCATTTTGCTTCATAAAGAAAGTGTGAACTGTTGTAGGGACAAAACATTTATTTTATTGAAAATGAAGTGCTTTTTCACAGAATCATAGAATCATAGAAATCACAAAGCTTATTGTGCAGGCTTCAAATCAAAGGCAGCTGATAAAACTGGTTATAGTGAAAGGTGTTCACGACTTAAACAATTAAAACATACCTGTTTAGGAATGTCTTTGCTTTCATGCCTTGCATGAAAATCTGCAAGGTTAAGAATGAAATTGAAACCAGTTGGCGTATCCATTAGGAAACACCAGCATCACAAACACCAGGGGCAGCTCATCTCTAAATGTTTAATACAGTTCTGGTTCGCTACGCCGCTGGCTGCCTTGCCAGCTCCCAGGAAACAAGCATCCCTGCTCTTATGCAGAAAGCTCTCAGAAATGGGCCTCTCACTGGTGTCACTTGTCTCTAATTAAGGCAAAGTGCTAAGTAACCTGGCGAAGTCATCTGGAGGATGATGCGGGGGCCATGCACACCAGTCAGATACAATAACACAGAACTGGAAATAGGCAAGGGCTTCAACTACCTGCTGTGCCTATCTGCAGCAGAGTGGCCAAGCTTTGTGTTTGTAGCTTCCCAGCCACTTCCATGATACTTCCCATAGGTTGGTCATAATTGAAATCTGCAGAGTATTTCAGATTTCCACACTGTCAGGCTTAATGCCAACCCTTGCATCCTCTGCCTGCTTTCTCACAAGTATGAGATGCTGACTCTTCCCAGGGAATCTCACTCTGTGGTTTGCAACAGAAGACAAGGCAGTATAACAAGACCATTATAATTGCTGCCAGTACAGCAATGGCTTGGTCACAACAAGAGGAAAAATCAAGGTTAGATGAACTGGATGAAGGAAAGGAAGCAGTTTTGTGAGCTGCCATGTCCGCAACAGTTTCTTGTTCATATGGTCAGGTGTGAGTTGTTTCCAAAGTACTGCCTGACTCAGGTTGGGCACCTTGGGCACCCACCCTCACCAATCTTGGGGTTCTGAAAGGGGTGCTGCATCTTGCAACCAGGCAGGATGTGATCTCACCTCTCACTGAAAGCTCTGAACAGCCAGCCACAAAGTACTGAGGAGCAGAAAGTTTTTCCACAATTGCTCCCAAGGTTTTGATACAGACCTTGGCCCAGCCTTAATTCACAGGGGCTACATGGACACTGAAGCACACAAGACACTCTCTGCGTGAAGTTACAGCATGAACTTAGAAGGGAAAAAGGAAGCAAAGTGAACAGCCTCTTCCTGAAGACAGTGATGGAGTCGGAGCCAAGTCTGGGCGCAGCACACAACTGCCCTGCTGTCCACTGTGTCTTCTTATGAAAGCCATGTAAGCCTCCACATCTGTATCAAAATGAAGAAATCTACAATTACCAGTACAGATACCAGTTGGTTTATGCTAAATGCTTTGTTCTCTTCCATCCTTGAGAGAGCCTTAAGCAAGTATGTGTTACTGGGACCTGAAGTCTATGAACTGTACTAACAATAACGTCTACCTAATGGACAAACACAGAGACTTCAATGGAGGAAATATTACTGGTAACAAGAATAAATTTCTTTAGTATTCCTGGTGTAGAAGTGATCCAGGTCAGCCCTCACACAGCATCTCATGTTGGTCATACAGCTCTCTGAACATGAACAGCATGACTGAAATAACAGCAGAGCACCATTTCAATGACAGTTCAACACAACTCCGATCAAGCAACTGCTCCTGGGCTGCTGGATCTCTCAGCTTTAGGGGTGTGCCAAGGAACAAACAAAGGCAGCAATGCAGCAGAAAGGGGCCCCACTCCAGTCTCTACCCTGGAGCAGTAAAGCAGAGTCCTGTGTGCAAAGCCATGACTGATGACGCTGGTGGGACAATCTCTGCTGCTATCTGATTTTGATCTGAGCTATAAATACATGTTTACTTCCTGTATTTCAACATTTTTTGCAGTAGGTATGATACGTAGCGTTTTAACATCACAGTTTTGAAAATGTTCTTATTATAGTAACCAGTTCACTGCACTCGGGCAAAAGCTCTGCCACAGAGCAATCATGCCAGGATGTATGCAGCACAGCTTGTCATGTGGTGTCAAGTGACTGTTCAGATGCAGATGGGCTCTGCCCTCTCCTAAAACTGCACTGGATACATGCCTCCCTGCCAGAATTTTTGTAATCGCTGGTTTTGTCAAGGGAGTGTTGTACATTTGGGATGGGAGCAGAGGTGGTCCAGACATTTTCATACATCCTGTTACTTGAAGGGCATACAACCATCTTGTCTCTGCAATACTGCCTTGCCCAGATACAGGAAAACAAGTATTCTGAAACCAGTGTTTGATTCTTTTTGGGCCTTCTCCTGTTCACTAATCACTAAGGCATATACAAGTCCCACCAAATTTGAAGAAATGTACCTTCAGTTTTCAGTCCTGTACTAGTAAGTACAGACTAAGCAAAAACTACTAAGTCACACAATGTGACTTTATTCCTTAAAAAGGAATGCTAATGTTTGAAATGTCTTAACACAACTCATTTTCTGTCCTTGATCTCAAAAATAGACATATTTGTGCCTTATTGCTTTATTTGCACCTATCTCAAATATATCTTTTTTACTCTATTTTCTTTCTTCTAGACCAGAATTCCAAGCAGAATTGGATTGCCAGGAATCACTGAAGGCTCTTTTGATTTCACTTAGCAAGTAATACTTGATCAGAAACTACAGCCGTTTTGTCAATAATGACCACCTTTTGTTGTCAACCATTTTACCAACGCTAATAGCATCAGTGGCTTTGGATGTCTGATGATCTTGAACATTGTTATGTTGCAATATTTAGTATTCCTCTTTTATTACCTGTCATTAGTTTATTTCCAGGGAAATATAAGAATCCTTAACAAGTGTTGTTCTGTGAGGTTTGGCCTGTGTACTCAAGTTTTTAAGACACAGTTGTGTGGTGGTGTGTGTGGGATGAAGACTGGATATTTGCACTAGCTTTTGCTCTATTTGCAGTTACAGAGGATGGAACTCCATGACCCCAGTGACTTTACTCGGTTTCTGTAATTTTATATATTTTAAACCTGTGTTATACAGGAACACTGTAATTTACAAAGACAACACAAGCTATCATTTTCAGGATCCTGTTCTGATGGATAAATAATTCCTCTCCTAGCAATCCATTAACAGCCATTACGCAGCTGAAGGGGATTTCTAAAACATATTCATGAGGCCTACAAAAGGTGACCAAGAAATGCATGTAAAGTGTGTTATCTAGCAGCCTACATCTGCAAAACATCTAAAAAAATCCACACTTCCACTGGAAAATTTTTGAGGCCCCTAAAATGAAAAGGACCGAAGACATAAAACTTTAAACAAAGGATAACTGTTAAAATGAGAATAAAACCAGATTCTCTTGCAATTCAATCATTTTCTCCTTACTTCTCAGAACACCCTTCACAGGAACATATTCAGCAGATATACCTGAAACTGCAGAGACAACAGATTCTAGGGCTATGTGAATCTGGATTTACTCAGATATGCCTTGTTCTTTCTATTCTAGAATTTTGCCTATGAAAAGAAGATGTCTTTGAATGCCTGTGATTTCTAGATGACTATAAAACCCGGGTGTGCCCATGCAAACAAAGTTCACTCTATATACGTGCTGGCCCAGTGACATATGCACCGGCTGTACTGCATACGCACAGATGAAATGACGAGTGCGGCACCTGCTCATCTTTTCCGATGCATTGCATTTACTGTGCATGGGCAGGTTACCTCTGTGGCTTGTGGGTGTCTTACACTAAAGCACATCTGCTGCACTTCAAAGTGTTTTGGGCAGGAAAGCCTGCACAGAAATGCGGGAGTTCTGGTTTATAACACAAAATATATCTAATAAATACTGTAGGGAAGGTCATGCATTCATATGGGAGTACAATTTAATACTGGTTTTACCCTAAAGAGCCCTATAATATCACTGTTCATCCTAGATACCTTCCATACTAGTTGACAAAGTTCCAGCTAAATGCAGAACCTTAATATTAAATACCTGAGCAAGGATACAAAGAATGTTTAACAGAGGTAAAACACATGCATAACATGGTGTATACGCCATAGCATGACAAAGGAGCTCCAACAGCAATTCACCATCCTGTGGCCAACAAGCAACTCAGTCACTCTAACTTAGAGAAACATTTTTCCCTCTTAGTAGAAAGTGACATTTCTCATTTAGCTTTACCTGTGAACTGTTAGCTCTTACTAAAGATGCCCATCTGATCAAAAGACTTCTTGCCATATCCTACATACTGGGATACTTCTGTCCTCACACATGTGCTGATTATGGCTATAAAGCCATGGCAAGCAGTTAGAAAATGTATTTGCTGGAACCACATGTAAATCAAATCAAGTATTTTTACAGTAATTTTGTTTCTATTTGTTCTATTGTTCTGTTTATAATTTAATCTAATAATGCTCTTCTACCTGCAGACTGCAGCAGGATGAAAACACAGAAAGGAGGGGTTTTCTAACTCTACAAACTCCACAATCACTCTTCACGTGAAATAAGCTGTCCCATGAGCACTGATACCTAGAACACCTACAAATGCTGGAATCATCTCAGGTGCCCTACAGATACAGAGGCTACTCTCACCCCAGTGTCCAGTACAATAAAAAATGCAAAACACTACAATGCCAGCACTCTGCCATATCTAATTACTGCCCTGAACAACAAAGGTCAGCACATTACACCTGATCAGCCTGGGAGGCTAGGACCTCGCATGTAGGCTGGAATGAAGAAGGGTTGCAGGCCTACCTGAAAGATGGGGTAGCATCTGGTGACCTCAGAGCACTGTGCAGAGAAAACAGACCCATCAAATGGGAACACATAGATGTGTTGAATGTCTACAAAAAAAGATCTGCACTCCAACAAGGCATATGGCTTGCTGGAATCAAGCCAGGAGTGTGGCTTGATCTCACAACCCCACCAACCACGTCTGAAGGTGGCAATCAGAGACGTGAGCCTCTCTCCACCTAGCCTGAACTGGGGTCACTTTAGGGGAGAACAGTACGCTCCAACTCAAGCACACTCCAGGCAGATGAGCCAATGTGGGTGATGATGGAACTCCCAGCACTCCATGAGCTGCCTGCAGAGGTACCGGGCCATCAGCCCAAGAGACGCAACACGCAGCAGGACAACCTGTGCCTGATGCTTGCAAGAGAAACCATAAGGTCCATGTGGTACAGATGCAGCCCCTTTCATATATGTTTTACCTCTCCCTTGTGTAGGAGGCTGCACGCCACCAAATGGTGAGCTGAGAGAAACCAGTGCACTGAAGGGCCCCTGCTGTGCGTATCCAACATGGCAGCTGTGGCGGAAAGGCCGCAGCGTATCTGGGTGGGATCGGCCTCACGGGCTCTGTGCTAGCAGCCTGCTCCCAGACCACAGGCTTTTAAGTCAACTAAAGCAACATGAAAGTGATTCAAAGTATTTCACCACATTCTTACAGGCACCTCTCTCCCCTGACTCACCCAACTTGGCAGCAGAGCTGACAAGAGTCTCCAGCGCTTGGCCGTGGGTGCTGCACTACTGCGGTGCCAAAATCACAGAAACTCCCTTTTTTCTTCCCGACTTCTGCCGCAAATAGCAGTGCCGGTATTTTCCCCTCGCAGCTATTGATTTGTGAGCCTCACAGCTGAGAGGCAGAGGCCAAGCTATCCGCCTTTTCTGAAAGACAGTAACCTGGGATCCTTCTCTGCTCCGCAGAGCCCACCCTGCCCTGCAGGAGAGGTTTTAGGAATAGGCTCCCACAGCTCAGGTGAATACAGCTCGCCTGTCTTTCCATTTGTTTAACGACTGTACAGAAAAAAAGTAGGAAACGATGACAAGTTTTGGAATGCTACCCGTCCCCTCGAGCTGCTGGCGAGAAACCAGCTCACAAGGAACCACATTCCCAGAAGTAACTTTTAAGATAAAAGCGGCATTGTATAAATACTTCCTCCTTGGAAAGACAGAGCACTAATACTCTTCAGCCTGTGCTGCCTCTCCCCTAATGCTCTCCTCAGCAGAGAGCCGACACTGCAGCAAGCCTGTGCTGATGTGTCCCTGCCTGCGGTGGGATGGCTCAGTGCCCCGGTGTCTTCTCTGTCATGGCCCAGCAGCAGGGGACAGAGCTGGGACAGGAGGAGGTGGCAGCCTCAGTGGGGAGAAAGTAGGATCACGGAGAAGAAACAGAGACTGAGAGGGTAAGGATGCAGATGTATGCGTGGGGAGACACGGACCAGGAGCTGGATGTCAGAGGGCGGATGCAAAGCGGAGTTGTGGCAAGCAATTCTCCATTCGTCGCCTCCACGCTGCCTGAGCCTGGCTGTTCCCGGGGAAAGCAGTGCGAGGCTGTGGTCGGGGCTGCTGCAGCCACAGGGAAGGACGTGCCTCCCGATAAGGAGATAAAAATGAATCCTGATTACGGGATTCCCTCTGCATCCTCCAATGAGCTAAACGAAGAGGGCTGCGCAAGGGCAAAGGGAGCAACCTCTGAGATGTGTCCCAGCCTTTGCTGAGCGAACATCCTTACGATCTGTGTGAGTATTTCTTACTGACTTCTTACTGAGTCGTATTAACTCCCACTTTAAAAAGCTGGTGGTGTTAGCCTAACACTCACACACCACTGCAAAAATCCTCTATCTGCTATTGTAGGAGACCTATTATTAGCGAGACATTATTATTATCTGTCATTTGGACTGTAAGCTGTCTTACTGTGAGCTGGTTCATGTGGATTGCTCTGCACGGAGCTCCCAACCCTTCCCCCTCTCCCCCCCCCACTACTCTACTGTAAATTTCCATGTGGACACACTAATTTGGGGATAAAGATCCAAGGAGGATTTAATGAAACTCAGCAGCATTCCAGGATGTGCACAGAGCCTCACAGTGCGGCGCCCTGTCTCCACCAGGACCAGTGCCCACTGCAGACAGTGAATAATTGCACTGGCAGGGCAGAGCACCGTGAGCAAGCTGAGGCGGTGGGGAGGGAGCTTCAGTGCCTGCGTCGCACAGCGCATGTACCCGATTCTCCCGCCAGCTCCTCTGCTCACTACTAACCTCCTCATCGCTCTATGCTTTCCAACCAAAGGGATCTTAGCACTGCCAAGAAAGCAGGGAAGAAAAGGGGGAGGCAATGCAATTGCCAACCTGGAGCTTTTGAGGACGAATTGTTTTGGAGCTGCTAGAGCCAGACCAGAACAGGCTAGGCGAGATGTGAGGGCAAAAAGGTGGGGGACCTTCCTTTCCTCACCCTGATGCCTGGGCAAAGGGGAGCGGGTTTAGCAAGACAGACAGTGGTGGCTACAAAGGGGAATGTTTCTTACAGTCACTGTGCACAGCATAGGGAGGCGGCAGGCTGATGGGGGAGAGATCGTCTTCAGGCCCCTCTACCACTGAAGGGGGCCCCTCGGGAGGCATCTTACCGGCGGGCAGGGGTGAGGTGGAGACCGTGTTGAGCAGCACCACGCAGACAGCCACAACATCCCATAACTTCATCTTAGATCTCCTTCCAACACGGGCCCCTGACAGGAAGGAGAAGGTAGGTTAGCTCCCAGGCACTGTGCTCCCCCAGCCCTGACCCTTCCTTGCAGCCCTGCAGGCAGCAGGGGACAATAACCTTGTTGTGCTCTCTTTTCCCCATGACACCTCCAGATTCTCCTGTCTCCATCATCTCCCAGAGCTGCCATCACACCAAGAGGGAGAGGGGGTGCGGGATGGCCACCGGCTTCTCTTTGCCCAAGGGATGGGAACGTGTGAGTATGTCCCTGTGCTGGCAGCCAAGTCACTTTGTGCTCATTCTCCCTCAACACCTGGGCAGTGCCAGGGCACCTGTCCCCTGGCTGGATCGGGCTGGTCTGGGCTTCAAGGCTGTGCAGCTTTGCTGTGGGGTGGGGAATCCACCTTTCCCCTTCCCTTCTCTTGTTTCTTTACCTTTCCTTTCATTTTCCCCTTCCCTTTTTCTCTTTCCCCTTTCTTCTTCCCTTCCACCTTTTTTTTTTCCTCCAGTCTTATGTCTCTTTACCTTTTCCTTTTTTGCTTTCTTTTTCCTTTCCTTTCCTTCCCCCCCTTACCCCTTTCTCTATCCTTTTCCCTATCCCTTTTTCTTTTCCTTTTCCTTGTTTCCTTTTCCTTCCGCTAGTTTTCTTCCTTTTCATTTCCATTTCCTCTTCCACGTTTTCCTCTTTTCTCTTTCTCTTCCTGTTTCCTCTCCCTGTTTTCATATTTTCTTTTTCCTTTCCCGTTTCTTTTTTTTTTTTTTTTTCCCCTCATTTCCCTTTCCTTTTTGTCTCCTTTCCCTTTCATCCTTCTTACTCCCCCTCTTTCTCCATATCTTCTTTTGCCTTTCCCCCTTTCCTTCTTCTTTCCATTTCTCTTCTCTCTTCCCTTTTCCCTTCCCCTCCTTTCTGCATGCTTGTCCTTACACATCCCGATACCCACCACTCGAGGATTACAGCTGCTTCTGCCCGGCGGCAGCGGGCGGAGAACGGCGGGGCGCCCGCCGGGGCCCGCAGACCGGCCCGGGAGGGTGCAGCCCCGCAGAAGAGACGCGCAGCTCCCACAGCCCAGAGCTCGGAGCCCCCTACCCCCGCCGGTCGCGGCGCGGATCACGTCCAGGCGCCGGCGCTGCGCTCGCACCTCGCCGGGTCCGGGGCTCTGTGCTCCCGGGGAAGGTGCCCGCCCCGACCAGCTCGCGCGGCCGTAGCCCCCGCCTCGCTCTCACCTCCGAGCTGGTCTCGTCGGACCCGAGACGGACATCAACGCCGGGGCGCCGAGCGGCCGGACGGGCGATGCATGTGGGCTAGGTCGGGGTCCGACCGCCGGGACCGTCTTCGCGAGGAGGAGGCGTGGAGAAGGGGGACAAGGTCGCAAGTCTAGATGGAGGCAGAGGGCAGCCGCCAGCAGAAGCCCCGGCGGCTACTCCCGCCGCTGCCGCAGGTGCTGTGACCGCGGCTCCGCGGGGGTCTGCGCCCGCTCCGGCCCCGGAGCCGCGTTCAGCAGCGGCGGGAGCGGCCCGAGCCGCGGGGAGCGCCGCCTGGCAGCGGGAGCTGGCTCTGGGTGCTGCGCTTGGGACCCTGCCTGGAAATCTGAGAAAGACACTCCATCAACAACTGCGGGGAGTCAGATGAAGACATCAGGGCTCCTGTAACGCCAGCTGGTCCAGCACCGCGGGGAACCGCACACCGCTCGGACACGCACGCAGCGGCAGGAAGGAAAAAAAAAAAAAAA